TGGCTATCATCTTCAGTGATCCCTTATATCGAGGCACAATTTGCACTCTTGATAAAAAGCAGAGAAGGGAATACTTAAAAAATATGAAAGTATTCAGGCCAGCACATCTGGCTAATATGCATATTAAGGGAATTGGATAACATGAGAAAGCTCTGGCAGTTGTTGTTGAAGAAGTTGTTTAGAACTAAGGATTGGAGGAGAAAATAAAAATATTATAACAGTTCTAGCAATTGCCATTTTCAGTACCTAGTGGTATAATGGAACAAACATTGAGAGAGATCTGTGTTCATCTATAGGTAAATGGAATACTAAGCAACAAACAGCATATGTTTGTAAAGAACAGATCTTGCCAAATGTGATTGCTTTTTTGATAGAATCAAAAAATTAGTTGAGGTTAATAGAGATTCACTGGATTTCATTAAAGCATTTTTATGCTAAGTGTCAAGTTCTCTCAAATATGCTTGAGCACTGACATGTTGATTATCTACTTTGTGGAGGACTAAACACAGGTAATAACTACTGTATTGAGTTGGAATGTCTGGTAGGGTCTTGTTGAACTTATTGCATTGTTTGGTCTTTAATAGCTTCATTACTGGTATGGTTGAGTGGATAGAACAACATGCTAATGAATTGGGAAAGACAGCTTAGTCTACTGCCTGTGGCACTGGGCAAGGACTTTGGCGACCTGAGTTCTGTTGCCAGCTCTGCTGCTGATCTTCTGTGTGATCTAGGGCCAGGTCACTTCTCTTTTCTATGCCTTTGTTTCTCTTCTCCCGCTTTGCCTGTCTTGTCTAAATAAACTGTGAGGTCTTCAAGGCAGGTACTCTATCTGATTGTGTATGTGTACAACACTTAGTACAATAGGACTTGATCTTGGATAGGACCTCTAGACACTATAATGCTACAAATGATAAATAATAAATTGGAAGTTGGTACTAAATTAGGTGTTGAGAACTAGTAAAGCAGAAAGGCTATAAACGGTATGAAATAGAGGGAGGAATTAATAAAATGAGCTCTAACTGGTAAAAATGCCAGGTAATGCATTTAAGTGAGTGGAAGGGAAGATCCTCAAAGGTACCAATGCCAAAAGAGACCTAGGACAAATTAGATGTGAATATGTAATGCAGTAAAATAGCTAAAAAGGCCAGTCAACTTGGGTCTGTTTCCAGTGAGGCATCACATTATGCAGGGGGGGAAAGATGATTTAGTGGAGCTCTGTGATTGGTATCAAAATACTTTGCATTGCATTTGCCATTCAAAAAAGTCTTTAAAACTAATGTTAAAAATAAAATTACTTTAAAAATATGACTTCAGTTTATCCTCATAGCCAAGACCCTTCATTCCAGTGAACAGTTATATAGTTCTTCTTCGGATCCTCTCTAAAATGTACAGGAGTACTTGTGGCACCTTAAAGACTAACAAATTTATTAGAGCATAAGCTTTTGTGGGCTACAGCCCACTTCTTTGGATGCATATAGAATGGAACATATATTGAGGATATGGATATATAGATATAGATATATATACAGAGAGAGAGAGAGAGAGAGAGAGAGCATGAACAGGTGGGAGTTGTCTTACCAACTCTGAGAGGCCAAGTAAGTAAGAGGGGAAAAAAAAAACTTTTGAAGTGCTAATCAAGATAGCTCAGTACAGACAGTTTTATAAGAAGTGTAAGAATACTTACAAGGGGAGATAGATTCAATGTTTGTGATGGCTCAGCCATTCCCAGTCCTTAGTCAAGCATAAGTTTTCAGTACTTCGTGGTATAATGGAACAAACATTGAGAGAGATCTGTGTTCATCTATAGGTAAATGGAATACTAAGCAACAAACAGCATATGTTTGTAAAGAACAGATCTTGCCAAATGTGATTGCTTTTTTGATAGAATCAAAAAATTAGTTGAGGTTAATGGAGATTCGCTGGATTTCATTAAAGCATTTTTATACAAAGTGACACTGTGTACCCCTTCAGAGGCAAGTTGCCAAAACTAGACACACAGTTCCAGACAGGGTCTTTTCATGGTATTTCACAAGGGAATAATTATTTCCCTTGTTTTGTTCATACTATTTTTGATGTGGTCTAAAATCCTTTTGTTATTCTTTGTCACAATTCACCATTGTTTCCATCCTTATGTTATTGGTAATGAAAGGGGCTTAGTGATTTATATTTAGTACATTGTAATTCATTACCCAGCAAGATATGGGTCAATGTATGATTTTTAGATCTAAAATGGAAATACTTACTAATGTGAAATTCAATCAGACACTGTCTAGGCTGCCTTCCAGATGTGTTCAAATCTTTCTGAATATGATTGAGAGACAAGGAGGATGAGGTAATCTATTCTTTTGGACCATTTTCTGTTAGTGAAAAAGACAAGCTTTCAAGCTTACACAGAGCTCTTCTTCAGGTTTGGGAAAGATACTCTTAAGGTATATCTGCCCTGCAATATACACCCGCAGCTGGGCCATGCCAGCTGAGTCAGGATTGTGGGTCTCAAGCTAAGGGGCTGTTTAATTGTGGTGTAGAAGTCCAAGCTTGGACTGGACCCCAGGTTCTAAGATCCTGTGAGGTGGGAGGATCCCAGAGCTTGGGCTGCAGCCTGAGCTCACACATCTGCACCACAGTAAATAGGCCCTTAGTCCTAGCCCTGCAAACCCAAGTCAGCTGGCATGGGCCAGGCATGGTTGTCTAATTGCAGTGTAGACGTACCCAAAGTGTCACCACTAAATACAAAGTGGAACAGATTGTTTAGCATATGTAGTTAACACATATTGTAAGAGAAGTGATGAAGTGGCTAGTTAACACCTTTGCAATCATAAAACAAAAAAGGTGGTTTTAGTGGGTTACAGATTGTTCTAATAAGCCATAAATACAATGTCTTTATTAAGTCCATGATTTTCAGTGTGTAGCAAAGTTATGAATTTAAGCTCCCAGGCTTGTCTTTTGAAGGTGTTGTGCAAGTGTTGTGAATATGATTGGCACTTGAAAACCATAATAGCCATGTTTCAATCCCAAGCCAGGATGGAGGAAGCAGAAGTGTAAGATGTTAGTGATCTGAAGGAGAGGCATGTGTTTAGTGTCAGGAAAAATCTATATTAATGAATCAAGGCCAAGATTTTAAAATTTTCAGTTAAATAAAAGTATACCATCAGTTTGAAATTGGAAATTTCAAATAATGAGTTAAAAGTATTTTTGGGTGCTATACCTTCTCCACAGTTAATCTCCCAATTTTTGTGGTTTCACAATCATATTTTTCTTTTTAAAAACATTCTTCTCATATTATCATGTGAAAGATCAATAAAAGCAGGGGAAATAATGAAAACTGTTTAGTTTGTGCATTTTACAGCACTTTGTGCAAACTGCAGAGCAGAGATGAATGTATTTTCTGTAATTTCAGCTAGTGAGTGTTCTTAGGTGTTACAATAATAGTAGGTACAAAATGTTCAGATAAGTATGATTAAGTTAATCATGTCCCTTTAATATTCTCACAGCAGCCTTCACTCTGCCTACTTGCATACACAGGATGCATTACAATACTGTAATTTCATTGCGTGATCACATAATGGGATGCTATTCAGTAAATATTACATCATTATACACAAAGGAATAAAACTTCTGTAATTGGTGAGAATATAGTATGTAGAATTTTTCATTATTGTGTGGCATGATTATATATAGACTTTGTTGAAATACATGAATGCAAAGGGCCAAAGATACATTTGCTGATGGCTATGTGTAAAAAAAACCTAAATAGATATCTATAGCTTGAATCTTTTGATTTGTTAAATTAAATCTCTAGCCTTAATGATACATTACAGTAGGTTTTTTGCATACATTATATATTACCATTATGATAAATTCATCTATGAAAGCCAATTAGATTTCCTTATTCTTGACACAAAGACATTTACAAGTTTAGATAATACTTTCCTATTTGAAAAATTACTTTATTAAGTCCATATGAACACTTATGGACACAACCAGAGTAAGCTCCTTTTTAAAATCTTCCATTCTTACAATAACACAAACTGACTGGCTTAAAACTTGTAACTAATCTGAGTATTCTTGCCTCGTTGCCCATAAATGAAAAAATAGTGGTTATGACTTAAGGTAGTTCAAGAAAAATATTGCTACACATACCGCTAAGTAAAATGGAAGAAAATGTGTGTATCTGTCTTTCTGCCAAATTAAATATTTTTAAATTATTCTTCCGACCCCCAACTATTTATACTATGGAAGTGGTATGATTTCCCATCTTTGAACTTGTTTCTTTATCCTGCACCTGATCTTTTAAGTTACCAATAAGGGCTGAAGCTGAATTTTGGTTTTAAATTAAAAGGCAAAAATGTAACTGTCAGTGTTTTTATTTTTAAATTGTGAAAGTGTTTCTGATAATGAGGGAATTTATTTTCTTGTTTTTATTATTTAAAGTTTTTGTGCTTCTTTGTTACACCTGACTTCTTTATTTGCTTTTGTGTTGTGCTAGCATTGGTTTGAAAGCTGGATTGCTCTGAGGTTTGTGTCTTTTAGATGTGAAACAGGAATGAGAAACATGTGAAGGACATGTCTTTGTCTTCCCACTTTACATGATCCACAGGGTACACACATCAAGCTTAGAATTGTCATCTGAAATTTTCAATACATATTTTAATATTTCACTGCATGGTAGCACTTCCACTTTTTCTTGAATGTTCCATGAAATTATAGTTAATTCTTCAGGATAGAAAGCTTGTAAAGTGTAAAAACACCATTATTTAAGACATGATCTTTAGTTAACTCATTTCTGTGTAATATTAGTTAGTGATAACTTTTTGACAAAAAATGCTTTCTTTTGGGAAGAGGGTTCCAGTGTAATTATCTATTTCAATTCTAGATTTTATTCGCTGCTTTTAGAGTATAGAACTAAGCATTCTTCATGTTTGTTTACTGTATCCTGCAATGTGTTTATGCACACAGTGTTCAATGAAGTTTATGCCTGTATATTTGTGGTTCTTTTGCAGTTCTGTGTCCGACATGAAAAGTGCTGCTTTACTTCAGAAGTAACCATGCTCCTTCCTGTGACAAGAAGCTTTCCAGAGATAGTTCATAGTATTTTCTTTTCATTTGGCACTGTATCTAAACCTGTATGTATTTACTTTCCATGTCTGTTTGGATTTTTGGATCATACAGTAGGCCTTTTGGGCATGATGGTAGAACTTATGCACTTTTCATTTGATGGTGCAATGTGCTTGAGCATAGAACAAACATTGTACAGTTTTACTCACAAGCTTTGGTTTGGTTTTTTAAAATCTATTTTACATTGTGTAACATAGTAATCCCTCCCACATATTTCATTGTTGGGGAAAGAAAACTAAACTTTAAATACTGTAAATAAAATAAGCCTATAATTTTAACTAATCTGCAGTAAAACTAAATAAATAAACCCTCTGTTCTTATATCAAACTTGCAAAAGGGATCATCGCCAAGCCTGCACTGAAGAATTCCATTGAAGTTCTTTAGTGGACACTCCAAAACCGTGATAGTGGCAACTGGCACTGAACACTTTTTTTTAAAAGCAGTAACTTAGATTATAAACTATAATACTGTATTGTTCAGACACTGAACAAATGTTCTGATGCTCTACAGGAAGAAGAATCCGTGTCTCTGCTCCCTTTACTTGCTACCTGATTTACATAAACTTCAAAATATTAGATGATAATTCTTCATCACTCTTATTTTCTATTGGTTCTGTTTTTAATAATTGTCTATTGAGACCTGATATGTTCCCTCATTACTGCTATCATTTTAGTATTCATGTTAAATATTTGGTCTTAGGATAATATTTTATAGGCTGCAGTATGTAAACAAATATTTTAAGATGCTCAGTGTCCTTTAAATTATGTGCAGTGTTTGAGAAATGGTCATTCTCGTTTCCAAGACAGTTACGTTGAAACTTTCATTATCATGTACTTATAAGGCATCCTACAGATCTGGCTCTTGTAACTCCCTGTCTGTCATGATGTTATACCTGTACCTAGATGTCACTGAGGGGAACATATTTTATAAATCACATTAAATATCTTTGCTAGTCTTAGAGCAAGTCCAGTGGTGTGAAAAGAAAAGTAAATGCCAATAGAAAGAAAGAAAGTAATTGTTTTTACGTTTGATTCCATATTTATTATATATTTATACTATAGAAGCCCCCAGAGCCAGCCACGGTACAAATACATAGGAAGATACAATCCTGAAGAGCTTATAATCAAACATTTTTCTCAAGAATTTGCTTCTGTTCCTTTATCTTAAAATCTTAGTGATGAAGAATCTGTTCTAGAATAATTTTCACAATGTAATACTTTTAAGAATCTGCTTATTAGTAGCAGATACTATGAGTTCTTCCACTTGATTAGCAGAGCACATTAATTATGAACATGGCACTCTGTCACTTAGTAATGCAGTTTTCCCTCTAGATTCAGTTACAGTATTATAATTGAACTTCAGTATTATGTGTCCATTGTGCCTGTCTTTTTTTTGCAGAATATTCAGAACTCAGAATCTATAGCCATTACACCACTTGGTCAGCAGTGGACAACCTGCTTGAGCAGGATAATGGCAAAGTATTATTTCACCTGTCAATGAGATGCTCCTTCTGATCTGCTTAAGTGGTTACGTTTCTGTGAAGAGATTCTTGCCTGTATTATTTTTTTTCTTTAATAGTTCCTCTATAAAGAAAAATATTGTTTCCTCTGCTGATATATTGTGAATTCAACATGGCATTCCTTGTGTTTTTGTTTTTGTTTGTTTTGCTGAATGTGTTGTTTTTCTGTAGAATGTTTCATTTCAACCTATTGTCTTCTATTTTTTAACTAAGAAATAATCCTATTCCATTATTTCAGTATAGAAACTGAGAAATAACAGATCAGTGGCTTCAAACCTGGTGAGAACCATTATTTATCTCCAAGCCACCTCTATTCAAAGGTGCTTCCTGGTGCTGTCTAGTCCTAAAATGAATGCCTGACAATAAAGTTCAGTCCTGCAGGGTATTGAGCATTCTGGCCTTGATCCAGCAAAGAACTTAAGACAATGATTTCTGTGGGACTACTTATGTCCTTAAAGTTACACAGGTTTAAGTGGATCAGGGCAAGAGTGCTCAGCATCTTGCAGGATAGAACCCATTAGTGCTTGGCATTCCTCTGTGCATTCAGCGAGACCAACTCCAGGACAGTGCTGCTGTTTTCAAGGAAGAAGTTCTCAAAAACAATAGAATTGAATGGTAGTCCTACTGGGAGTTGTAATTTTTGGTAGAGCTGAATTATCACATACAGTTCAGACTCAAGTTCCACATTGCCTCATCAGTCTCAAAGGCATGAAGTCCAATGCATTGGAGTCAAGGTGCCAGGTAGATCTTTCAGTATGCTCCCTGCACGTTATTCATCAACATTCAAATGCAGGCAAAATTTCCCTCAAAGCAAATGTGTAGATTTGTATGTAATGTAGGGATGTTCAAATCTATGTACATTTATTATTATTTCCATACTTTTTAAATTGTTTTAGTTTGGGGGAGGCTTATGGAATTTTCCACTGTACCCATCACTTGCCATTTGTGATGCCAAGTGTTTGCAGAGTATCCTATTTCTAACATTTCTTTGGGACACTTAAGCTAAATTACATTGTAAGCTTTTTTAACTAATATTTTGATACTTTTGTATTTTCTTTCTTTATTGTAGCAATTGAAACTTTAATGGAGTTATTTGTCTGAGAATTGAGGTGACTGTTTAATATAGTAATGATTCTTGGGATTGCAACTACTGGGCTTGTTTTGCTGAGTACAATATTGGGAGCCAGGACAGAGAGGTGTGTGCCTGATCCTGAACCACTGAAGTCAGTGGTTGCAGGATCAAGCCCTATGAGCGGGGAAAGCGAAGAGGACTTTCAGCTGGAAAGGCAGGGACAGAGGTGTCTCCTGAGTTACCGCCTTTCTCCTTGGGTGAGAAAGGGAGATGCAGAAAACCACAATACTCGACCCATCTCCTTTACCACAAAAGCGGAGAGGTTTCCCCATTGCTTGACCATTCTCTGGCCCTCTGCTGAGTTAGGAATGAGGGGAGAAATGTCCCCATGAGCTTTTTCCCTCTTTAAATAGGTAGAAGAAACAAATGCTCTCAAGTTTCCCTGTGTTCCCCTACTCCTGGGGTGGGCAAGGGAGGTAAGAGATGATAGATAACGAGGATAGGGGAAGGATTAGCTAGGAAGAATGTGTTAGGGAGAATGGAGGCAAAGTAGGAAATGAAGGGTGCTAGGAAACATGGGAGAAGAGGAGAAAAGAAATGGAACACAGGTAGTGGAAAAATCAGGAAAGCATGGGGGGGGGGGGAGAGGGGATTGAAATAATAGTCTTAGAATTTAACACTGTAGGAAAACAGACATTGCCAAAAAAGTACAAAGGATATACCAAAATATACTATGTATTCTGAACCTCCTAAAAATGTCCTTAGCTGTGGATAAATTCCTGACAAAAATTGTCTGCCCTACCAGACTGAATTGAATTTTTTTAAATATTCTGTATGCAGTGTTGTTGTAGCCATGTTTGTCCCTGTGTAAGTATTCTGTGTAAACCTCACCTATAAAAGCCTGGCACCGAGCAACAAAAGCTGAAAATGGTTAATGTGCATCCAAACCAGCGAATAAATTTGCAGCCTGCAAGTAACTTTTTTCTGTAACTTTTATGCACTTACAGCTCTCTGTGCAGTTGGGCCTTGAAGCAATACTGTGTCTTGTGCTTTTTCAAAGAGCCAGAATTCCCTAGCTCCTGGATATTTCCAGAGCACTGAGAGTGTGACGTCGGAGAGCAGTTGTTGACAATTTCAGTGTACTAGCAAAGATTCCCTGACTCATAAGGATAGGCCTCTACTAAGCATTTTTAATTTGGGGCAGATCTGGGAGCAAGACGTCTTAAAAAACTAAATGGTATTAAATCACCAAAAATCAGTGTTCACCAAAGAAAGCTGATATACATTTGTCCTCTCCCCATTTCATGGAATTCAGATGGTTCATTTTATAGATTTACCTACTGTCTGGCTGGAATAAGAGCGCAAACTAGTTGAGATTCAGTCCAGATAGGAAGCATGCTCATTGGCTGGGGCAAACTAGCAGTAAAACATCAACAATAATATCAGCTCTCTTCTACTGAAGGGCTGTTGGTCTTACTGGATCCTCAGCTGTTTCTAGTAGTGGCCAAGAATATTTTGTATCATCTGTGCTAGGTCAGGAAGTTGTGACCTTTTCTTTGGGATGTCACCACCGTAATTCATGCCTTTGTCACCTCCAGATTGTATTACTTCAACATCCTATATGCTTTAATACCACCCGGAAATTACAGCTAGTACAGAATGTGGCAGCTTGTGTGCTTGGCAACAGTGCAGAGCACTTCACACCTGTGTTGATCATCAATCTACACTAGCTTCTTATTAATTTCCACGTTAATTTAAGATGTTTTTAATTTATAAAGCCCTAAAATGATGTAGGTCATAGGTAGCTCTGGGACTGCCTCTCCAACTACAACTCCAGCTATGACAGCTAAAATCCACTGAAGCACTTTAACCTAACATCCCTCTAATTCTGTCAGGAAGGGACTGAAGGCAATGGTTTTTTTTTAGTGAAATAGTCTCAACTTTGAAATGTGTTGTCCCCATTGATCCACCAGAGCCCAAATTTGTTGACCATCAGGTCACTCTGCAAAGCTCACCTCTTTTTCTGCCATGCTTTTTCTGAGAAGGTGGACTGTATTGGATGTTGGGGCAGTCTTAACCTTAGTGGACTTGGGTTAATTTCATATTTTGGGTATTGGTCCTAATTTGTATGTTTAATACTTTGCACAAGAGTCTAGAGCTTCATAAATGCCTGTCCATAAATTCAGATGCACATTCTTGAAGTCTTTCAAAATTTCCATCACAAAGTACCACAAGTTAAAAAATAAAACTGGAGAGAGGCATGGATCTGAGTCAGATTTATTTGTATTACTGTATTTCAAGGGACCCATGTAAACTGAAGGCCTTTTTTTAAAAGCCTAGGAGAAACCCTGAAATTAAAAGGTCTGGGTTAATATCAGGAGTTGAGACATTACTCCTTATTCGTTACCCATTATATTTCTCAAGATCTTTCCAAACAAATGTAATAGATATTAATGGACTCTCGGGAAATTCCATAAAGCAGATCTAATAATGAACAAGAAGCGCTAAAGATGGTTTTTGCACACAGGTTGTTAATTTATCCCATTTCTTAATATGTCTGTTCTAAAGCCAAGAAAGCGTAGAGTATTGTTTGCAAACTTTTTGTTCTTGATGTTAAGCCTAATCTCTTGTCCCATTATTCAAATTCTTTACTTTCAGCTTAACTCAAGACCTTCATCTCTATTCATTTATGCTTTTTGAGCAATAGTGGCCTACTGGTTAGCTGAATTGGTGCAAACAGCACTGATTAATAAATCTCATTAATCAGGGGAACTAATCTTTACATTTTTCTATTTGATGGTTCTATGAGGCTCATTGCAAGTGTTGCATTGAACTTTTTTTTTTGTTCTCTTTAAGTGCTAATGTCTTCCTCACATTTATGACTCTTATGCTCCATGCTGTTTTGTTAATATTTTTCTATTTAGTCCCTTTAGGTATTTGCCTTTGTTAAAACTTTATTCAATAAAAATTAATATTAAATGTCAGCATGTTATTTCATTTATTATAAAATTCTTAATACAGAAAATGCATACAGATTTCTTCAAAGAATCAATGGTAACTTTAGAGAACAAACTGAATGCTCAGGATACAAAAATATGACTAACATATATGTAAAAGTTCTTCTAATTAAATTAGAATTAGCTATGAATAATATGTCCAGATTGGGTTGGTTTGTTTAAAACATAAAGCACCAGATTCTGATCTCACCAGTTTTACTGCGATGAAATTAGTCCCTTTTTAATTGTTGAGATTATAATCAAGCTCACGGTTTGATAATACGCAGATGTCTGTAATCCAGTGATACAACCAGATTTCCCAGATGCTGCAATATCCCTAGATGTCAAAAAGGCAATTGCCCAGCTCACTTGGGAATGCAGAATATATGTCTAGCAATTGCATGGTTTCAATTAAGACAGAAAATGTCCTGTCATCTAGTGCGCTGCTAAAATTTCAGTTAATTTTGTATCTTCAGACAAATTCCTTCTATCTAGGGGTACCCTAAGGAATGTCCTCTCATTCTTTTTATTACTGCTATTATCCAACGTATAGAACTTTATACTAAACGTTTTACATGAAACAATGCTGTGCTTGACCTAGAATACCACTATTCAGTGGAAAAATAGTTTTTAGTGGACAGTCTCTAAAATACCTGGATATATAATAGAGAAATCCATTATTTCTAATTCTCTTCTCTTCTCAATAGGTAAAAAATCTTGGTATCTATTATTGTACAACAATTTGAAGATACCATGATGTGCAACAGGAAAACAATAATGGCATTAAAAGAATTTTTTAATTTGGTCTTTAAACCTATCAGAGTGCAGATGATTAGCCATCATTAAAATAATTGATGAGTAAACATATCTGAAATCCTTTGTTTTCTGGTCAATATCTTCTAATGGGCTCTCAGTTTGGGATTTGCATTTAAGGAACTTAACAGAAAATGTTGTTCTGTTCACAAAGTGGGGAGAACGTAATAACTTGCCTCAAAAATTCCTTCTTAGGAAAATTTTGAGTTTGTCAAGACTTGAAAGCTCCTAATATACTGTGTTTAAAGTCCTTATTAGAGCCAACCTCCAAATATGAAGCACTCAGATAACATTGTGCTGTGGACAATATAAGAACCAAATAGAAAAGAATGAGTCATTAGGTGTAAAGAATGAGCCCTTTGACAAATTAGCCACATTTAAAGTGACCTTTGGCTCCTTTTCTGATTCCTGCTGCTACCTCAAGTTTACCCTAAGCTTTGGAGCAAGATAGAGAGGTAAGGCTTTCTGAAGGACATTAACAATTGGCCCTTGCCCTGAGGTCCCCTATCCTATCTTCATATTCTCTCATGTTGAAACACACAAAATCAAGGATCATGAACAAAATTGGCATAGTATGTGGATGTAGGCTATATTTCTACATAACACACTTCAGTGGCCATGAACTGTCTGCCTGTGTTATACTCAGGACCTTGATATCTCAAACTGCTGAAAGAAGCTCTGTGCAGCAAAATAACTGTTAAACCAGGGGTCGGCAACCTGCAGCACGCGTGCCAAGGGCGGCACGCGAGTCGATTTTTGATGGCATGCTGCTGCCTGCCGGGGTCCTGATCCCCCTCAGCCCCCCCACCCATTGATTTCTCCTGCGAGGGCAGGAGGCAGAAGCTTAGTCATGCTGACAGCCAAGCTCCCTCCTCCCCCACGTCTTCCCTCAGCGTGGTGCTTTCCTGCCCCTCCCACTGCCTCTCCCTGCCACTGATCAGCTGATCCCCCTTGCGAGGGGGAGCGGAGCCGAGCTGAGCCATAGGGTGCTCACTGCTCCAGGGAGGAAGCAGAGAAGAGGTGGGGATGGGGCATATCCCCTCCAGCCCCCTGCCGTGAACACTCCCACGAGCCAAGCACCCCAGCCCCCTGCCCTGACCCCTGAACCTCCCCCACACACACACCCAGCCCTCTGCCCTGACCCCTGCATCCACACACACCTCCAGCCCCCGTTCTGACTCCTGCACCCCCACATACACCCAGGCCCCCCATACCCTATGCCCTGACTCTTGCACTCCCCCACATCCCCACCCCCACCCTGAGCACCACATGGGAGCTCCTGCACCCACCCCCCACATTCCCACCTGCACCCCCTTGCCAGCCAGGGTTCCGCAGGCCCCGCTCAGCCCACTGCTGAACTAGGTGAACAGAACCCCAAGTTGGCAGCGGGCTGAGTGGGCCAGCGGCATAAGATCAGCATTTTAATTTAATTTATAATTAAGCTTCTTAAACATTTTGAAAACTTTGTTTACATACGACAATAGTTTAGTTATATAATATAGACTTATAAAGAGAGACCTTCTAAAAAAACATTAAGGTTTCGCGTGCTGGTAATAACTTTTAAGTTAAAATGAATAAGTGAAGACTCGGCACACCACTTCTGAAAGGTTGCCGACCCCTGTGCTAAATTAAAGATTTGCTTCAGCTGCCAGCATAGCCAGGAGGTAAAAAGACCCAGCCTTAGAGGTGTCACTTATTTTTGGATGAGAGAGATGATTTCTCTGTGACAGTTCAGTCACTAGAACACAGAGTATAGGGAGCTCCAGCCTGCTGCTATACTGAATAGCCCAGGAATGTGCTCTGCAAGTACAGCGATCTGTGCTGAAGGAAGTATTCCCAGCACACCTTCACTAGAGTTCGCTGTTTCTGTTGCCTCGGAACCCCAGCTTGTTTATATATTCGATAAAACAGGATAACACGGTCTTTCATGAGCCTCTTTATAGCACATGCTTTGGCCATGAACTCTAGGCAGTTTGTGTGCAGGTAATACTCCTCTCTTCCATATCTGGCTCACCATCTTAAACTGGTGTGTGATTCTGGGACTAAATACTGCCTTACTGATCTGGGATTATATATGTTGGAGTTGGGGGTCAGAACGGGGGTGGGGGGGAAACTGTAGCTCTTCTTCGAGTGTCCTCTGCATATCCCCACACTTGGGATGTGCACTG